TGAACCTAATGAAAACATTCTCCCCTTCCTTTCAATACTGCAATTTAACCCAGGAGTATTCTGCCTCTAAGCTCATGCCCTGTCCTTTATTTTATTTATCTATTTTTTTGTCGTTCTGGTGATTGAACCCAGGACCTTGTGTATGTAAGGCAAGCTCTACCAAGTGAGCTATATCCCCAACCCCTTTATTTTATTTTGAGACAGGGCATCACTAAATTGCCAAAGCTGGACTTAAACTTGGCAATCTTCCTGCCCCAGCCTCTGGAGTCACTGGGATTTATAAGTGTGGCAAATGCCCCCAGCTAGAACTTTTTATTTAAAGAGATAAAGAGATGACTTCTGGCCTTCCCAGAGTGGAGGCTGTTCTTCCTCCCTTATCTCCACCAGGTGAGGGATAGAGGAAAGGGGGTGGGACACACTACTTCCATCCATCCCTCCTCTTATCTTCAATAATCCCCTCTCCTTTGACACCTTGGGCATGTCCTTGCTCCAACCCCTTTTCTTGAGCACCGAGTAGAGTTGCTGCTGTTTAGAGCGTTGGTGTCTTCTTCCCAGCCCTTCCACCCAACCCAAAGGCCATCGGCTTCTGGAGACACTCTGTGTTCACATGGACAATTCATTAAGTATTCTAATCTCATGATCATGTGACTTTGCCAACTTTAGAGACCTGTTCCTTTTGCTCCACTTCAGATACTCTCAACCACGCCACATTCTGGACACTGGAATGGCTGCATCTTTGCAATGCTGCGATGACACTTTTCTGCAGGTTTGAGGTGAGAGTTAAATGACATGATATATGCAAAGTGTCTCGTAAATGCTTATAAGAGGTATCCAATGAATGTTTCTTTCCTTGACTTTTTGTGTCTCTTAAAGACAGAAACATAATTTGGAAGCCCTGGTTACTTCTTTCTCCTTTATTTTGAAGGATCTTTTGAATTTGACACCTAACTTGTGTGCTACACTTTCTGCTAAGTGACATCCTCAGGAATCTTTTTTACAGTAGCACCCAGGAGCTACTAGCATTCAATATTATTGGTGGCACTTGTGCGAACATGCAGTACACAATACCCACTCTTTTAATTACAGAACATTCTTGCAGTAAAGTGACACTGATTCTCATCTGATTAATATTTATAGTCTTCACTTTTGGCTAAACGCCAGGTATTTTCAGCACGTGAATTTCCCTGGCTCTGCAGAACCCTCTGCTACCTTCTCCCTTCAGCTTGTTTGGGTAAGCATGTCTTTGATTCACCTAGTCCGGGGGGTGTCACAGATTCCCTAAAGCACATGCCTTCTATCCAGGAGGGTCTTTTAATGGGCCAAAGTATCTATTTGTAAGTGGGTAATGATGGGTTTTATGATTTTTAAGAAAACATGTAAATGCTTACATTTAAGGGAGTTTGGGGAAAGGGTTATGATTGCTTTGATCATTGCTCAAAAATTGGTTCCCTGGTTTGCGAATGAAATGTTTTAGACAGAGTTCATCCATCCCTTTGTTTTGGCCATCTTTCTCTATCTTCCATTTGCTCAATTTAGGATCCTAAAACCTGTATTCTGACACACAAGCCATCATTGTTGCAAAGGAATTTGCATTTTTCCATAAACTTTTATAAGTGTAGGGATTTGTTGGCCATAGTAACAGTTACAAGGCTGATAGTAACAGTTACAAAGCTGTGGTCTGTTATATATTATCATTTAAAAATGTCCAACCCAGATACCCCACAGGGGAAGTTATTTTCCCTATTTTCAAAATCTCTTTATTTTCCATTTCATTACCAATGTTGCTTATCTCACTTAAATCCTCATTACTTTGCACTTAAACAAATTCAGTAGCATCCTTCCTTCTCTTCCTGACTTTTCCTTTTCATCCCAATCTTACTTCTGTGTCTCATAATGATGCTCATGGCAATGCTGGTCAGACAGTGCTCCAGGGGATGTTCCAGGGACCTCAGCACTGCCTGTTTGGTAAGGTTGTAGACAGTGGGCAAGATGTTAGGCCCTGTCCTGTTCAATCAGGACAACTCTGTGCTGATCAGTTCCTTTCTATTTGGATTTCTTGCAAGGCTTTTGAAATAGTGTTGTTCTCTGGACAAAATCCACATTCTTGGCTTGCTGCTCAAATCCCTTTTCAACAAGTCTCCAGACCAGTATGCATCTTCCTGTTTCTTCTCCATGGTATTGTTGCCTCATAATGAATTGCTCACTCTCATTCCTTAAACGTATAGGAGAGACCCTGAACTTTTGTTCACACTGGGATATCTTTTCTTAAAACAAATTGTTTACCAAGCTTATTGAGGCACAATTGACCAAAATTGTATAAATGTAAGGTGTACAACATGATTATCTGATCTACGGATACACTGTGAAATGATCACCACAATCAAGCTAACTAGCACATCCATCACCTGATATGATTACCTTTTATTTCTGTTGAGGTCCTGAGTACACTTAAGTTCTATTGTCTTAGCATGTTTCAAGTATATAATGTAGTATTCTTTAAAAGAATCTGTTTACCCCCCTAAACATGAGGGTGGCAATCTTCTTCTGTTTTGCCTGCTGTGGTGGTAGGTCTCAGATTGTTTAACAGCTGAGCAGTTACTTCTCCTTCTGGTGACAAAGCCAGTAGCTGCTGGAGTGGAGATCATCGAGTGGATAAAGGGCTTTGGTAGTGTTCATAAGTGTGCAAAGCTATACCCCTGGGAAATTGAGAGAGCCCTTGGCACTTCCAAGCACTTATCAGATTGGATGTTTGCTTCCTCATCCATAGTCCTAAAGCTATTTAGGAATCATACTCATCCCTTTTCTAAGTGGGAATGAGACCATGATTCTATGTAATGGGAGTAACTCGTGAACAAAGAGGACAACTTTTCAGGATTCTCAACTTTATAAAAGCCACAGTTAAAAGTAGATTCAAACAAAAAAGCATTTTCTCAGAAAAGGAAGGCAATCAATAACATGAAGAGAGAGCCCACAGAGTGGGAGAACATCTTTACTTACGCACATCAGATAGAGCGTTAATTTCCAGGATATATAGAGAACTCAAAAAATTTAACACCAAATAAATAAGTAAATAAATAAATAACCAACCCAATCAATAAATGGGCTAAAGAACTGAACAGACACTTCTTAGAAGAAGACATATCGTTGATCAATACATATATTGAAAAATGTTCAATTTCTCTAGTAATTAGACAAATGAAAATCAAAACTACTCTAAGATTCCATCTAACTCCAGTCAGAATGGCAATTATCAAAAATACAAACAATAATAAGTGTTGGCAAGGATGTGGGGATGAAGGTACATTTATACATTGTTTGTGGGACTGCAAATTGGTACAACCACTCTGGAAAGCAGTATGGCGATTCCTTAGAAAACTTGGAATGGAACCATCATTTGACCCAGCTATCCCACTCCTCAGTTTATAGCCAAAGGACTTAAAATCAGCATACTACAGTGATTCAGCCACATCAATATTCATAGCAGCCCAGTTCACAATAGCTAAACTGTGGAACCAAACTAGATGCCCTTCAATAGATGAATGGATGGAGAAACTGTAGTATATACAATGGGATATAATTCAGCATTAAAAGAGAATAAAATTATGGCATTTGCAGGTAAATGGATGGAGTTGGAGAATATCATGTTAAGTGAAGTAAGCCAATCCCAAAATATCAAAGGTCAAATGTTCTTTCTGATGATCCATAATGGGGGCGCGGAGAATGGAGGAACTTTGATTGGGCAAAGGGGAAGGGGGAAATGGGAGAAGGAAAGATGTTGGAATGAGATGGACATCATTACCCTAGGTACATGTAGGACTGCACATATGGTGCAACTCTACATCATGTATAAGAAAAAAGAAAAATTGTGCTCCATTTGTGTACAATGCAATAAAATGCATTCTGCCGTCAGGTATAATTAATTAGAACAAATAATAAATAGTATTTACCATATAGGAAGTTTGTAAATATTACATTAATTAATGCAAATAAAGACATTACACTGGTAAAAAAAATAAAAGTAGTTTTGGGTATTATGAATTTCCTTTACCTTTTGAGCAGGTTTTTACATACAAACACTTTCATGTATTATGTCAAAGTTGACTTTTTTCTCTTGCATATTAATGATAGTAAGAAAGTGACACTAGTGGGACTGTCATTCGCTGAACTGCAACAGCAAATTTAAAAAACTTGTCTGTAATCATGAAATTAATCTGATTCATGGTGTTCATATCTAGAAACTATACAAGGATGGGCGTTTTCTTGACGATCATGAGATTTTAGTTGGAGAAGATGAACATGGGTCAATATCGCAAACTTGTATTTTGGTGCAGCTTTAAATAGAGGCTTTTGTTAAAGAACAAAGTAAAAATGACTGGAATAAAGCACAAGAGAAAATTTGAGGTTAATAGACAATATAACATTTCTTCAATAAAAAAGTTTAATTGAAGAGATCAATTTTTTTCTTTCTTTTGTGTATTTATTTATTCATTTATTTTTAAGTAGAACTGCAAGAAACTACTAAATTAAAGACTGTTGGTTCTTCAAGAGTGACCAGACCCTGAAATGAGATCTAACAAGAAAGACTTGAGCCTGTCTTTGCTGGGAAGTTTTTAAGAACAAGCTTAGATTTTTATTTGGCTGGAAATACTTTAGATGTGGTTCAGTCTAGGCTCAAGTGTGGATGCTCCAAGGACGTTCACTTTCTTCTGGTCCTGTTACTAAGACTGGGAGGGGTAGGTGTGTGTGTGTGTGTGTGTGTGTGTGTGTGTGTGTGTATGTGTGTGTCTGTCTGTCTGAGGGGGCGTCAACTGGCCCTTCTTTGTTTGGTTGCATGGAGTCCTCAGATGGGAAACACCCTCCTGGGTGCAGCTAGAGTCCTTGCCTAGTTGCCGGTAGGGGTGGAGAAGTGAGGAGGACAGAATTTTCCAGAAGTTTCTAAGCAAAGAGCACGTCTTTGGCTCAAAAGTGTCCCCAAGTGGACGACGTTCTGGTCTGCAGCCTAGCTCTGCCCTCTGCTGTTGGCTGCATCAGATTTAGGGTGCAGGGAGGAGTAGGTGGAATGGAAATGTCAGGATTTCTACCCCCAGAGCCCCCTCCTCCGAGGAAAATCAGCCTGTCTGATAAAACATCGGGACCCCACCCCCGCGCCTTAGTGTCGCCTTGGAGCAGGTGTTTGTCACTCCTATTACGTTGACGGCTTCCCCAGGGCTTGGCGCTGGGTAGCAGACCAGAATGTCAGGAGAGGTTTGTGTGGAAGTTATCCACAACTTTGGTGGCTGGGGCGGGGGAGGGTCTACCGTGATGCTAACCCCTTTGTGGTTGCCGGGCGACTACGGGACTCTCAGAATCGAGCCGCGCCGCGTCCCCAGGGATCCGCCAGCACCGGTGGAGGAGGCTGCGGGCGGCGCGCACTGGACAGGGCCCATGCAGTTACAGGTAGACGCGCGGGTGGCCGGGCTTGCCCTCTAAGTGGGTAGGTCAGAGCCAGTCCCTGTGCTCTGGGCTCCTCCTGGGGACTCCAGCCACCTCTGAGAATGGAGGCGGCTCGGGGCCTTTGCGAAGGTCGAGCTGGCGGCGGCGAGCTGCAGAGCCCGCCCCGGTGGTCGCCGGCCCCCTCCACCCCGCGGACTAGTCCAGGGGCTGGGGGCGGCGGAGGAGCGCCCCGCCCCCGCCCCCGCCGCCTCGGCCGGGACCGAGACGCACACGCTCCTTAATCCTCCGCCCCCTGTTGCTCCGGCGACGGCCCAGACGAGCAGGTGATGCATTGACAGCGAGCAGATGGTCCCCCGCGGAGGCGAGCGCGGCCCACAATGCGCCCTGCGCGGCGATCCCACTGCCGCCTCCCGCCCGGCGGCCCCTCCGCAGCCCGCATGCTAATACGGGGCGGGGGCGGGGCGCGGGGGCGCCGAGGGCACGCCCCGCTCTGCGCGCTTTGCGGGCGCACACCGCCTTCCCCCCAAAGCCCTGCTCAAATCCCCGCACTGGGAGAGTTCCTCTCTGCAAATATGCCGAGGGGCACTCTGTTCACCCGCCGGCTCCCCCGCAGCTCCCTCCCAGCCCGCCCCAGCTCTCTCCCAACTCTCCCCAAGTGGTTAATTTCCATTGAGATCAACGCTTAACCCCTCCTTCCTGGCCCCTCATTCCCATTCTGCGGCCCCTGCCCACATCTGCTCCCTGCTGGCATTTAATATTCAATCTCGGAAGACCAGAGGAATGGATTTGCCACTGCCCCCAACACCCGTTCCCACTTCTAGGGCTGACGTTGACATTACTAAATGTGTAGAGACAAGTTATTTATCTCATCCCTCCCCCCTCCCCGCCCCCCCCCCATGCTTCAGGGTCTTTTAGGCAGCTTCTCTTCGCTTTCCTTTCTGGAAGTTCAAAAATAAATCACTCTTCCCCAGTAACTGCTGTGCTGCCCCCTCTCGGGAAACCCTCCCATTCACATAGCCTCCTCCTCCCATTCATTTGACACCCTCCCGCCCCCTTTACCCTATTCACTGCTGTGTGGCAAATTGAGGCGATCTTATAGTAAGGGCATGAAAACTGCTAGGCACTATTCACAATTTTAATACTAACTTCATAGCTGTCACATAAATTCATTGCCAGGCTTACTTTATAATGGCCAAGAAGGAACTTTAAGGGAAGGGGGAAAAAAATCTGAAGATACTGCCATGGTGTCTTTCTTTGATTTGCAGGTGTTTTTTGAAACCATTACTACAGTAACTGCAGATAGCTTTTTCTAGCTGCCACATAGAGTGCTTTTAAAAAAAGCAAAAACAAACCCCATCCTCCTCCTTTTTATTTTACAGTAGATAAAAAAATGCCAAATGCCAATAAAGGCTTAAATAAAAAAAGCAATGGAGAAAGAAAGAGAAAAAGAGACTCTACTGAATAAAGTTGGGACAATACAGGGTCACAGAGCTGTCGAAACTAATGTCATAGTGTGGCTGTTGGGCAGGCGTACAGAAAACTTCTTGTTTCTTGATTTTTATGGAGATTTGGTGTAAGGCATGGAGCACTTTCTGAACAGGTTTAGAACAAGTGGTGAAGAAAGAACTCTTCACAATCAACTCCCGTCTGATGGGCTTTATGCCCGCAAACACCTGTGATTTACAAAGAGGCGTTTCAGAGGACAAAAGCAGGCAAGAGGGCCAGGCTATTGTGGGGAAACGATGCCTCATGTACCCAAGGCTGTAAGAGAGGCTTGTTTTATTTTAAAACTTGTTTTAGATCCTTGCTGTGCAAATTTACAATAAGAAAAGAAGTATTAGATTCTTCTAAGGGCTCATAATGACTTTCTCAAATGCTGCTTATTCATTTTTGAGCCTTCATTTTGATAAGTTCTTAAACTAGTGAATATTGTAGTGACCAGTATTCAAAGAAAGTCGACTTATAGAAAAACCTCTAAGGTAGACATGTTAGAAATCATTACCTAAGACTTTGAAATAAGTAGTTGGAATGTTCACTTTAGGGTTGTACAACATTTGCTTTAAACTTTTATGAACTTTCCTTTCTCCTAGAATGCTATGATCTCATGTTTATTTTCTCAATTTATTTTGCCTTTTTATGATCTTTTGAAGTTTTTCTTCCATTTTCCTCTTTGACTTCTGCTATTTCTCTTTTGTGATTATTCTCTCCCAAATAGTTGAGGGCAATAGCCAAACATGAAAACTCAAGGTGAAAACATAAAGAATTTTAGGTTGGGGGAGACTCCCTTTGATTAGGGTAACCAAGGAAATCTCCCTTTTAACTGGAACCTGCTTGCCTGTCCTCCCCACATTTCAGCAGAAGTGTGTGCAGAGGCTAAGAGGCAGCAGAGTTTCAAGGGTCCCAAGTCACTAAGAAAGTTTGTGTGGCTGGAATGTCATCAGAGTGGGAAGAATACTTTGAGATTAGGGTGGAGAGGTCGGGTGGAGCAGATCATGGATACTTGTTGAGCCATAGAATAGGACTGGGTTTTATTCTAGGACAAGATAGGGAGCTACTGAAGGATTTTGAGTGACATGACTGAAGTTCTATTTGAAGATCATTACTGCTGCTGTGCAGAATATTGTGTTAGTCTGTTCTGTGCTGTTGGAACACAATAGTACAGACTGCTATTTATAATTAGTGGAAATTTGTTGGGCTCATGGTTCTGGAGACTGGTAAGTCTGAAAGCATGATGCTAGCAGCTGATGAGGGTTTATCTCATGGTGGAAAGCAGAAGGGCAAGGGAAGGTTAAAATGAACAAGAGACAGAACTGGCAGCCTCAAGCCTCTGTATGATCAGCATTAACCCACTCATGAAAGTTAGAGCCCTTGTGGTCTTATCATATTTAGAGTTTCCACCTCTTAATGCTGTTGCACTGGACTGTTTTCAACAGGTGTTTTTTAGAGGACAGCCACAAACCACAGTAAATATGGATTGAATGATAGAAGTGCAATGACCAATTAAGAAGCAATTAGAAATCCACTGTAGTAATCCAGCAAGAAATAATGGTATCCTGGACTGAGGTGGTATTAATGGAAATGAAGGGAACAGATGAATTTTGGATCTACTGGAGATAAAGAACTGACGAGACTTGAAGAATGAGAATGCACAAGTCAGGTGAGGAGAGGAAGGAAGGAACCAAGGACCACCAACAGGACTGAACAACTTGGCGGTGATGGTGCACGTTATGGAAAAGGTGGATGAGAACTGACACGGACGTGCAAATCAAGAATTTCATTTGGCATGCTAACTTTGAACTGCTGTTGAGAGGGTCAAATGGAAACAGTGAGCCTAAAGACAGACAGTTCTCTGACTCTAGGCCCTCGTATTTCCCTGGGCTTCTCAAGACCTGTGATGTGGTGTGGCATAAAGGGATGAGCTGGGCTCCTAGGATCTCTTTCTTTCTGAGTCTGAACTGGAAATACTGAATCAACCTGGCAGTTGGCAGCAGAGGATAACCTGCAAGTCATGATATGGGAAAAGATCCATTAAGGACCATGATGAATAGATGACATGGAACAGTATGGTAGAGGTAGAGGACATTCTTTGTGAGCAATAAGGGCAGCTGGAAGAGAGAGGCAAGTTTATGAGAAGCAGCTGTGTCTGGGACTAGACCTCAGGGTGGCTGTCAGTGTCTTGCAGTTGTGGTATTTAACTGCTTTTGAGTCAGATAGAATCTCCTCTTTCAGACTGTGAAGCAACAGCATGCAAATTGCTAGAAAGTCTATTTAAGAAATAACAATAACAACAACAAAAAAATAAAATTCAGAATGAGAAGGAGTCTCATAATTAAGAAGAAGTTAATATCATAATTGAGTTATGTTTGGAAAGTTAGTACATTTCTCCTTTCTTGTCAGAGTCCTGACTTGTAGAATAACGACTTATTCTGAATCCACAGATCCGCTTTATTAAGGGAGGGTAAAGGGCTCTCTGGTAAAGATGAATTGGAGTTTTAAGTGGAATGGGTTTCTCAATGTCCCTGATCTAATTGACTGTAAAGACTCACAAGTCACCGTAGAGGAGTTGGGGGAAGTAGAATAGTGACCTGGCATATCTGTTTACTAAGGTCTACAAAATCTGCTAGCCATGTAGAAATCAAAAGCTCAGGGAGACAAAGAGGCAGCAAGATAACAAGAGAGAATAAAAGATAGAGCTCTATTACTTTTTCAATAAAGGTCCTGGTAAATTGGACAATTGAAAAACAGCATCAATTGCCTCTTGAGGGAGGGAGTACGTATTTGTTTCAATATTTTCTCTAGGAAGTAGAACAGAAGGTGATATACCTAGAATCCCAAGGAAATAGAATGGAGGATTATTATTTGCTTTAATAATATACATAAAGAGTTTACAAGAAATTACTATGCAGAATTTGGATATAATATAGTTAAAAACTTCAACAAAATTATCATATTTGGGGGCAAAAAATAATTAAAATTAAGGAAGAGTTAGTTAACTGTTCTCCTTGCAGAGAGAATTAATTGCTCTCCCTGGAAGATCTGATTAGAACAATAACAATAACAAAGAAGAAAACAATGTCTTCAAAAAATTAACTTCAAAAAAAGGCTCTGAGCCCAGATAGTTTTACAAGTGAGTTCTTCCAACATTTTAAAGAAACGGAGTTGCACATTATAGAAATTGTTGCAGGACAAAAAGTAAATCAATTAATCATTCCCCCAACAAGACAAAAAACAAAAATAAAACCAACAAAAATGCAAACTGAAACCCAAACCAAAAACTGGTGAAATTTTCCTAATTCACATGATATTCAAACCATGCAAATGTAGTAAAATAAAACTAACAAATTATTTTATCCTAAATGTATGTACTAATGTTCTAAAAACCCCACAATACACGGAGTTCATAAGCGTACAAAAGATAAATTATACTATCATTCAGTTGATATCATTTCAGTATAGTTTAATGTTGGGAATTCTAGGACTATATCACAATAGTAGGATAAACA